AATGAAGATGGATTTTAATACACCATTGGAAACGAATAAATTTATAAACGGAGCTACGAAATTGATTATTTAAATTGGCCATAAAACGACACGAATAAACGGATTCAGACAACCCGAAGACAAATTTCGCGTTACTATGCAAACAGTTTGATCAATTTTCTCGATACGAATGGCGAGAGTGGAAAATATTATTGATTTTATCTCGGCTCCTTTGATCAATAGCTTCATTGAAACGATAATTCAGTCGGATGGCAAGAAATATCAGCCGGAGAAACGGTTCTAAATTAAAACTGTGGCAAAGATTCGAGGGAAAATATTTGTGGCCGAAAGGATGAGAAGATAATCGAAGGTTAATTAATTTGTATCGCGAAAACGAACCGGGAAAGAATATTCTCGGGAATAAGAGGTACAGGCAACTCGCAGAGCTCATAAATAAATTGATTGCTCCAGCTTTATCATTACGCGGGCAAAATTTAAATTCCGCTTGGATTTTAAACTCACGATATTGCTTCTCCATTCACTTTATATGGCAATATAGAAATTCTATTTTCAACGAAATATTAAGGTAATGACAAAACACGATCTGCAAACAGATTCTTGTTACAGCACGACGTCTAATAACAATTACCAAATTAATTAATTTGAAGAATTCATATTGTAAAATAATAATGATATTAAATATCCCAGTTTATAAATACTCGATTTAACAAATTCAATGATTTTTCAAAGTTTTAAAATGATTTATAAATATCATTTTAAATTCAATTAACTCGAGGAAATTATTTCAGAGAATGCTATTAAAAATTAATTAGTACTCTATTATTCTGCATGCTCTGGTTTTATATATGGAATTAAAGTGAAAATTTATTTCCGTTTAATTAAGCGAAGAAAATAATTTAAAAAAGTAGTTTAAAATAATTTAAAATAATTTAGAAATCGATTACTATTTTATTATTCCGAATTTATGCATTGAATGAAAACTGCGACAAAAATGGAAAATATTTTTCTCGATTGAATTAATTTAAGAAAATTATTTCGAAATACAAATATCCATCGAAATTCCATTAAAATTATATTATTATTTCGAAAATTTAATTTCGGTTAATTAAGCAAAGAAAATAATTTCAAATAGTAGTTTAAAATAATTTAAAATAATAATGATTCAAAAATCGATTACTATTTTATTATTCCAATTTTATACATCGAATGAAAACTGCGAGAAAAAATGGAAAAGTATAATAACGAAGAAATGGAAAATATTTTTCTCGATTGAATTAATTTAAGAAAATTATTTCGAAATACAAATATCCATCGAAATTCCATTAAAATTATTTTATTATTTCGCACGCTGTGATTTCGCGTATTCGATAAAAGCTTGGGCAATCAATTCCGACCGATTGTCGAGCGTGTTCACGACTAACGCGAGTTGAGCAAAGCACGAAGCGAAAAAGTCGCATAGATTCCGGTTTCACTTTCCAAACTGCCTCCCCGCTTGCAGCAAAACGATAAAGACCGAGTTCTTAATAGGAAAACTTTATTTCCGTGGTCTCTAATACCGACTCGAGATGGCTGCAGCTTCAATGAAATCCTCGATTGGCTGTGTCAAAGAGGATTTGCAGCGCAGTCTTGAGCCACATTTCAAAACGAATAACACACATTCCCGTCGTCTTAAACTCATTTCCTATGATTGTTTAACTTAAACCTGGCAGATAATCGGTAAAATAAATATACAAACTCCTATGCCACAAAATTTTGCTCAAAACGTCATCTATGGATAATATCTATGACAGTGTTTGGGCTCTAAGTATAAATTTCAAAATTCAGTTGCACCGATTCTACGTTAAATTTAAATTTGAATTGGTTACATTACAGATATCTAACGTGAAATTCACGGTTTCGTGAAACTCTATAACGTTTTATTAGCCACGTGCTAGTTCGAAGACTCTAGGGTCTTGGAGTTAGAGTTTCAGGGTCTTGAAATGACCTCACGTATGTCTTGCTCCTCTCATGAATTAATTAAACGATTTACTGTTCCAGTTTTCCACCACGGAACTCGTTTCACCCTATCTCCCTTTGAAAGTAAAATCTGACCGCGATAAATAAATAAACAAATGTAATTTGTCACAATTTTATAACGAAGTGCCCTACTATTCATTATAAATTATTCACATAGTTGTAAGTGCTCGAATAACACTTATGGGGTTCAATATTTATACTCCGTTTCGTGCTTGAAGCAAAAACCAGGAGAAATAATACGAAAAGGAAAATGGTAACAAAAATTGTTAGCGCAGAGTTTGTTTATTTAACACTAGATTTACGGAACTCGTCAATTTGACGGAAGGGTTGCGCCAATGATACGATGGTAACAGATTTAGTTAATTTATATTAAGATTGTTAATATAATATATAATTGTTTTTAAATTAAACTAAAAATTAGAGAAAAATGGCACGTGGTTTCCTTTACCTGTCAATTTGACAGGTGTCCTTAGAAATAGGTATACAGATAGCGCCCGTAAACCTAGTGTTAATAACAGACGAGTGATAGGTCAGTGGTCCCTAGTGTAACACGCAGAAATTATGTGGAACTGACTGTTAACACGTTAAACGCCATGCTGATTTTACGGTACCGTTCCGTTCACACCACAGTTAGCCGTCAATTGGGCCCTTCCGGGCCTTACGGACCGGCGAGGCCTGAACGGAGATTCTAGCGCCGATCCCTAAGGCCCAGCGTGGTATTTAACGCGTTAACGCATCGAATCTCTATGGTAATTAGTGAAACGACTTATTAATGAAAATTCCCTAGCAAATCTAGTAATTTGGAACTATTTGACCGGTGGGGCCTGAACGGAGAGTCTAACGCCGGTCCCTAGGACCCAGCGTGGCGTTTAACGTGTCAATGCATCGAATTTCTATGGTAATTAGTGAAACGACTTATTAATGAAAATTCCCTAGCAAATCTAGTAATTTGGAATTATTTGACCGGTGGGGCTTGAACGGAGAGTCTAACGCCGGTCTCTAGGGCCCAGCGTGGTGTTTTATGTGTCAATTCATCGGATCCCTACGGTAATTAGTGAAACGATTTATTAATGAAAATTCCCTAGCAAATCTAGTAACTAGGAACTATTTGCGTCTTTGTAACTGCTTAGATAACCACGTGACGTTTAGTTTTTGGAAATGCAAAGAATCCGAGGATTGTTTGTGACGACCACGATCAAGGACAACGTTGACGACGACGTCGACGAGGACAACGAACGAATAGGACGACGACGACGAGGGCGACGGTGGCGACGAAAATGGCACCGTCGTCGCACGCTTGTTCACTTCCACGAATATGGACGGCACGGACAACGCGAACACGCGTCCGTGTGCCTTATACGTGTACATATCCATATATGCATAAACGAGAGGACATTGTTCGGCTAGGTTAATGGACAATTGATTACGTACCAGCTCGGAGACCAATGGCACCGACTTTCGGCGCGGCCGGATGTCCGGCATGCTGTCGATGTTGCTGTAGAAAGGATTGTCTCCCGGATGCCTGAAAGAATAGCGATTGAAAATGTTAGATATAAGATAAATAACATTCTAGATAAATGTAGAATGGAGAGATCGAATAGGTAGACGCGTGTGAGCATAAATGAACGAGAATGCTCGTTTATCGTTTCAAAAATCGAGACATTGTGATTTATAAGAAAATATTTCGTCTTAGGAATAACTATAGTTCTGAAAAAGTTTGTGGATATGTATATCTTCGTTACTTATAGCTCAACAAAACATATATAGTACAAGAAAAGTAGTTCATTCAGATTTTTGTTCGAGAATAGTAACCTCTTCGCGAGTAAGTCTCTCATTTAACTCACTAGCGCCACCACGGTCAATATCTCCGATAAACGTAATGTGAATATCGTACATGCACTGATATGCTTATTAATATTCGAATCTTATTGTGTTTTATATTTCTTTATGAATTATGGAATTCTGAATCATGCAAGAATCCGTAATAAAAATGAGTCATCAAATTAACGATGAAGAATAAATGTAGGATAGAAATATTTTTAATCGAATTTAATGTGCAAATAAATTGGGAATAATGGTTTATTATATTTTCTATTTAAAATATATTCTAATTTCGATATTTTCTAGTTAAAAATATTACACGTTCCAATCTTTATCTTCCTTACTTTTCAAAATTGACAATAAATAACTCTCACGCAACGACAACACAAGCCACCGTTTACTTTTTAATTTCCACACACCGATATATTTTATTTGCAAACGAATCAACACAGACATTCGTATAATAACATTTGCCATAAATTCCGAACGAATCCAACTGGCTCCCGCAACGAGGCCATTACTATTCCAAACAAATCGTTGAAACTAACCAAGATAAATCAAGATACGAATAAACAACGGCCTTGAAATATCGATAAAATATTCTCCTACGATATCCTACTCCATAAATCTGAAATTTAAAATATTAAAAATGGCGGGCGATCGTTTCCAGCGATAATCTCGTAATAAACCGCGTAGTACATCGCAAAATAAAATATCAGTGTGCCTGCACCGATCCATCGGTTGCGGAATTTATGGACACCATAACGATCTCGGGTTAGACACTATTCGATCACGATGAATCCTGGCCGAGTTAGGCCAAATCGATATTACGCTGAAAGTAATCGAAGTTTCTGGTCAAATTGGGAATCGGCTTTCCGAGGATCTCTACTTAAGCGATCAGAAGTTTCTAGGGACCCTAGAACTCGCCTGCTGATCCGAACCTCTCCTCTCATTATTATCGCCCAACACTTTCCGATCTTTCACCGAACTCGGATTCGTCCAGTGGAAATTAACCGACTATCAGGGAATTTGAAAAATGGGCATTACAGGGGAAATTAATTGATACGGAGATTAGCCGTTGTAATTAAAAGTATCGGGGATCGGAAAGATCTCGGGTCCGATTATGAGCACGGAAACCGGTGTTTTGGTAGCCACGAGGTGAAATCGTGATTTATCGTTGCGACTAAACGATAACCCAATTTAACTCTTTGCACTCGACGATCTGTTCGTTAGAGAAACATAGTAATTCGAAGACTTTCTGCCATAAAGTATTTTCAAAACGGTAAATAAGAAGTGCAAATTAATTGTAAGACGTAGAATTATTTTACCTCAGTATACTACGCATATCGATAGACAATTTTAAATTCGAGATATTAATTAATTCCTTGCACTATTTCCACGAGTCTGACTCGTGATGAAAATTTTAGGTCAAACTTGAATATCACGAGTAAGGCTCGTTGTTTAATTTCGTGCCAAACGTGGATATCACGAGTCTGACTCGTGATCGGCGTTTCGGGTCAAGCATGAATATCACGAGTGTGACTCGTTATTGATATTTCAGGTCAAACATGAGTATCCCGAGTGTGACTCGTGGTTTTAATTTTCGGGTTAAGTATGAATATATAGTACTGTCACAGGCGGTGACCTCGTACCCTAATCAAGCCATGTTCACCATTCCCACAGTATGGTGTAACCTAATCTATCACTTTGGAATTATTTCACTTATTGTGCTTTACTTTTCTTCATTTTTCCACTTAGGTGACACGCAAACCTTTAAGAGGTTCGGTCGAACTGCAATTAGGGTTGGTGTTTTGTATTGCAAGCTTTCTAGATCGATGGTTGTCGGCCATTTTTTCTTGTATGCCATCGTGATGATGGCATCGTTTGATATGGAGATTGGTAGCGAGTGTTGGAACGTAAGCAATTTTAATTTATTATCTACCTATTTTTGTTATGTCACTTTAATCGTTAACAGCCACGTGTATTGTGTTTAGGTATATGCATCGTGAGTCGACAGTTCACCTGTTAATTGACGTGTCGAGTTAATTAATTAATCGAAGCTCTGGTAGAAATAAAATATTACTAGAAATTAGAAAATTCTAAAATTAGATTAAAATAAAAATTAAAATTAAAATTAAGTATAGTATGTTTTTCCATCTTTACCAAATTCCATAAAATATTTTCGAATTATATATTACTCCATTTTCCCAAATTTCAAATTAACTCGATATTTCAAATGACAATTTTCAATATTCCGTACACCAGTGAAATGCCAAAGAATTAAAATTTAAGATAAATCATGGGTCAACGTAAAGTATAAGATAAAGCTTTGCGAGCTAATTTTTAAAAGATCCAAGAGACTAATCCTCAATAAATTGACGAGAACAATTTGCAGCAATTTAATTGTCGGGCAACAAGTCGCCTATGCGATAGTTCGAGGAATCGATTACCATTATACGCGTTTCAACGTTTAATCAGCAATTCTGCGTGCTCGTAACGCGATCGACTAAACGCTGGACAATGAGATGGTCGACTTTTACGACAAGGGAGTTACACAAACAGCCAGTAGCTTTCAACCTGATGAATTTCTCGCTCAATTAACGAGCTTCAATGACAAATTCACTTCGTCCATTTCAAAAATAACTTCCTCTATCAAAAAATTTAAATCAAGTAGTAATGCTTACATAGATTTTTAAATATTAGGTGAAGTAAAAAGAAATCTAATTTATGTAAAAAAATTAGCTCACCAAGATATTAGTCGAAAATGTGAATAAAATTGAATTTTTAAGTCAAATCTTATCGAATCGAAATGGCTATAGCAATTCAATAGGATTTTTTCTCCTCATTTATGTAAAGAAATTAGCTCACCACGATATTAGTCGAAAATGTGAATAAAATTGAATTTTTAAGCCAAATCCTATCGAATCGAAATATTCGGCTATAGCAATTCAATAGGATTTTTTCTCCTTATTTATGTAAAAAATTTCTTTTTACTTCACCTAATATATACGTGTTGATATAATAAAGGAGCTATGTATCTAAGAAAGGGATGAGTGGATCAAGTATGCATGAGATGGTAATATCTAATGAATTCAGGTTATTGTAATAAATGAGTATGTGTGTAATGATTAAAGTGTTGTGTGAATTGTGTATGTTAATGCAATGTATAAAAGAAGAAAGGAAAAAACGAAAGTGATTTGGCATAGGTCAGTTGCAATGAGTTGTAATAGTGAGAAGAGGTGTGAACATGTGATTGTGATAAATTAATTATATTTAAATTAAATATTTCTTTGATAATCTTTGTAATTAAATAAAGAATGTATGTTAATGCAATGTATAAAAGAAGAAAGGAAAAAACGAAAGTGATTTGGCATAGGTCAGTTGCAATGAGTTGTAATAGTGAGAAGAGGTGTGAACATATGATTGTGATAAATTAATAATATTTAAATTAAATATTTGTGTTTGATAATCTTTGTAATTAAATAAAGAATTGTTCTTATTATTATTATTTCATCCACCATTAAGAAATCAATATTCCTTCATTTTGTACCTCGATATACGATATAATTGCCACGAAGAGGAAGAAAATTATTTATAAACCTGCAAATTTGATTTATTTCTAATCTCCTCTAAAATAAATCTAAAATAAACCTAAAATAAATCTAAAAGAAATTGGGTTGAAAAATGCAACTAAAAATCCTCTTCGTTATTTTAAATACGATACAAATTCACGTCGAAGGATACCAATTTGTAGACAAATTAGAAAATTTAATTGTGAAGATTCGATGAATATATTTTGAAATATTCATGCACAAAATTTTTAAAAATATAATAATATTTAATATTTTAAAAAATATTTAAGATTCGAAGTTAAATAAAAAGGAAAGGAAAAAGGGAAAAATATATAAAGAGATCTCGTAGTGTTCGTACATCGGAGAGAAATTGAAGAAAGAAACCTTGTAGGAGGAAACGAGACCATCGATTAGACCGGAAGCGTGTCGGATCGCACTAGCAACAATTAAGAGACACTTTCAGAGTCGACCCGATTTAAGAGGCCTGTCACTCGTCGAAGATCTTGGTTTTTATGTCAACTGCTGTCTAGATCAAAGCTTCCTTCGGAGCTTTGCTGCGAAATGAGCGAAGAGCAAGGTACCATTCGTGGTGAACGTAATGACCACTGGAAGGTTTCATTTCGGAATATTAACTGAAGCTAATAAAACGTCGCTGATACAGAAAATATTCGCGATTTATAATAATCTTCTGAAGAAATTTTAATTGCAGCTTTTGAAAGATCAAACGACTGAAGAATGGTTTCATTCATCGTACGATGTATCATTAAAAATGGAAAACTATGAGACTGAAATCAAAAAATAGTATATATATAAAGTATAAATATATTAAAGATTTGCAAACATCCTAATTTGTAAAGATTCTATAATGTATTGAAAATTTATAAAAATCCCAGTTTATAAAAATTTTATAACATATTCGAAATCTACAAATATCCTAATTAGTAAAAATTTTTTCCAAATATTTAAGATTCGTAAAAATTCTAATGGGCAGAAATTCTATAATATATTCAAGACTTGTAAAAATCCCAATCTGTAAAAATTTGATAATATATTAAAAATATGTAAAAATCCTAATTTGTAAAGATTCTCAAATATATTCAAGATCAGTAAATATCCTAATTAGTAAAAATTCTTCCCAAATATTTAAGATTTCTGAAAATTCTAATGTACAGAAATTCTATAATATATTCAAGACTTGTAAAAATTTGATAATATATTAAAAATGTGTAAAAATCCTAATTTATAAAGATTCTATAATATACTGAAAATTTATAAAAGCCCCAATTTATAAAAATTCTAAAATATATTCAAGATCTGCAAATATCTTAATTAGTAAAAATTCTTCCCAAAAATATTTAAGATTTGTAAAAATCCTAATGTACAGAAATTCTATAATATATTCAAGACTTGTAAAAATTCTAATTTATAAAAATATAATAATATATTAAAAATGTGTAAAAATCCTGTCTACGAATCTTCGCTTCCTTGAAATATTAAAATAAATCTGTTGCTCTATAACTTTAATTCCTTTAAATACTACGATACTGGTAGACAAATAAAACGAAGAAAATTTATACAAAAGGTTAAAAAAAACACAATCAAAATTTTCCAAATTCTTTTCCTTAAGAAAAAAGAAAGAATTAAACTTCTACACGAATATCCTTTAATTTTTCCATCAGATATTTAATTAAATCAAGCTAATCACAATTTAAGAACTATTTAAAGAATGACCAATCATTATTGTAACCTATCATTACTTTTACCAATCCTTTCCCACCAAAAATCCCAAGGAAACACAAAGAACAAAATAAATTGGAAAATATAACGAACCAAAAGCATAAAACATAATTAACCATGACCTACGAAATGAATTGCCAAAGACAATAGACGAAAAAGTATAATGAGAGATTAGCTTTTCACGATTGAAAAACCTTTCAGAAAGGAAATGGAAAAATCGAAAAATTGAAAAATCGAAAAATCGAGGAACAGGTAAAGAGCCGTCATTCACGTGACCAATTCCACTGTCAGATGTCATTGGCCAAGGGATTTTAATAGAAACACAGGGAGAGAATTTTTATACCGACGAATTTCCCCGATTCAACGAGAAACCAGGCTCGTGCAGCCTCGTTTCTTCCTGGATCCGAATTCTTTTACGACGAATTGTTTCACGGAATCAAATTCCCGCTATTGAGTTACCTGTCTTACATGTGCAACACGAACGGAGAAGAATTCCGAGTCCTTTCCAGTCGAGAGATTTTCATCGTAAAACACGAGACGTAAAATTTGCAGTTATTACGATCAAAATTCTTTCTCTGCTCCTCGTTTTTATGTGTTATTTTATCATTTCATGCGTTTCCTTTTATCAAATGTTTTGAAAATTGGGAATAACTGCTCGACGTTGGAAATATAATTTACGAAGAAAAATTTTGATCACCATTATGCGCCATTTTCCCGAATTTTTATGTATAATAGGTATAATACAATTCCAATGACCTTTTGATCATGTTCTTCTAAATACCCTTAATTACAGATTAATTTAATTTGATAAAAATATTAAGGAAATATTTATTAGATTTCAATAACTATATTTTCAAATAAAATAATAAAAAGTTAAAATCCAACACGTGGTTGCAAAAATTATTTTTGTTCTGTATCCTTCGATCTTTCAGTGGCCACTCTGTATAATTAAATGCATAATTGACTTACTGAAAATACAAATGGATATTAAACGAAAATATAATCCAATAAAAATATTTTTAGTACTACTTTTAATTACAGAATAATTTAATTTCACAAAATTATCAAAGGAATATTTTTTCAATATTTTTCTACATTTAAATGGCTGCTTGACCCAGTGAAAATATAAATGAATATTAAACGAAAACGTGATATTATTTAATATTTTATACTATAATTTGTTCTTCACATGTATTCATAAATATTTTGAATTTATTAATTGAAAATAATAGTCTAGATTTTAAATTAATAGAATTATATATTAATAATATTGATATTTCTATATTTATATTTATATACATATATTATTATCATTTTTAATTAAAGTTCCTATATATTTAATGCTTATAAAATATTATTTTATATTTGTAAATTAATATTAGATAAATATTATACAATTCAGAATTAAGGCATCAACTCTGTCGACAAATCAGCCAAACCATTATTCCCGCTTTACAGGCACCATTTTCGATCAAAAGAGGTGCAATGAAGGGCAAAAACGATTCCACGCGATAATCGCGGTAGTCACGAAAATAGCGTGTACCGTTAGCAGAAAGTTAGCAAAGTAAAACCGAGAGAAAAGTAAAAGTAGCACGATCGCTGCAAAACAAGCTACAAGCTAGACGTCTTATGGTACTCACCCGTTGCCTCGTCCACCGGATTCGCCACCAGGCCCGCTGCCGTTCTAACAAACAAAAAAACAAGTTTATTAAGAAACAAGCCTAGTAACAGTTCGAAAAAACCAAAGGGAGAACGCGCGTTCGCGCGAACGACGGCGCAGGCGTACGAAAAAATATTGTACACAGTCTTTGGAAACGCGTGACCATCGAAACCAGAGAGAAGCAAAGTCTCGCCATCGAGAAAAGAACAAGTGAAAACCGACTAACCGATCGCGCCATCTACTCCCCACCCTACCCATCAATCCCTCGTTCGCGAGAAGTACACCAGATGGCAGCAGACGCCTCCTCTCTCTAGTTTCCCATGGCCATGCACGCACAATGCTTTGCCCTGTACACAAATCAGTCTCTTTTCGTCGACTTAAAGGTAAGAGAAGCTCCGATGAAACAGAGAATCGAGCGCTGACAGAGGATCCGAGAGGAAGAGGGTGGTTTCGCTCGTTCCTGCCCTCTCGCGTCGAGTTACGACTCCAGGGACGACTAGAAAAGGGAAGAAATTCTCGTTGTGCTCTGACGTTCTCCTCTTCTTTCTCATCTCCTTTTTCTACCTTTGCTACCATTCCCTCCTCCCTGTCCTCCCCGTCTCGACCACCTTTCCGCCACTGTTGACTCAGATTAAAACCTTCTTTCCTCTTAGCTGGCTCTTCGTCGCTGTCACCTTGTCCCTTTCTTCCGCCATTGTTCCCTCGCTCGTTTTTGTCCCCGTGAACTAGCCACGGCTCTCATCGCGACGTCCGACAGCCGCGGGAACCGCAGCCGGGGTTGAGACAGCAACTTTTCTGCTTAATCTTCTGCGTTTCCACCACGGGTACACCCTTTTTCCAGCCGTTAATTCCTCGTGCCACTCCTGTACCTTCATCGATGGTCGTTAATCAAAAGTTTCTGCACAGTGCCCGAAGGCTTGAAGCACGACCTCGTGCTGGCACGTCGCTGATCCGGCTATCTGACTCTGATAACCCTGTAGAACCTCCGAGACCAGGGTGATCGCGTCCCCTGGCTTACTGTCTCCAAGGATGTAACCACTTTGGTGGAAGGACACTGAAATTCTTATCGTTAGCCAAAATTCGTCACCTAACTTGCATCTATCAGAACATCCTTGGACGATTCTTTCTGTCGGATTTACCTCTGTTCTGCTTTGTCTCGCGATCTGGTCTTGGTAGCCGGTCTGATTACAACTTTGGTAGTCGGTTTCTACGTTTCTCGACGAATTCCACGCTGTCTTCTTCCTCTCGTTCTCCATTCTTCGTCTCTTTTCGTCGCGTTTAGCACTCGCCTGCGCCTCATCTGCCTATCCGTCTCGTTCGCCCGGTGTCGCACGGAGGAATGGAAGATTGGAGACAGTGTGTAACAGCCCGTATAAATATAATATCACGTACAATACTTCGTAAATTCTGTCACGATAGAGATACAATATAAACTTATGGATAGCGTAACAAGTATATTTAGAGTTAGAGCCGCAGGTTCACATTCTCATCCCAACGTTCAACGCCTTCAACCGCCGTTTACCTGTCCTCGTTACTGCCCTAATTCTCACTCATTCGCGTGAACAGTCTTGCGGAAAAGGGGGTTTCTTTTCACCCGAGAAGCTTACTTAGACAACACTGGAGCAATGACAATTTTTTATTTCGTATCCGCCTTTTTCTCTTCGCTTTTCTCTTTTTTTTTTTTTATTTTCGCGCTTTCCTCCCTCCCCCCTCGTTTGCTTGCTTGCGTTATTTGTTTGTTTACAATTTTTCGTTTCTTTTTTTTTTTGCTTTTTTGTTTTACCTGTTTTGTTCACGTTTAGCCACGAAGTGGGCGCCTTCGAGTACGTCTACCGGATAAGTATAACGCGGCCTCGAGTTTTCTCCTAGCGAGAACTAGCGAGTAATGCACGCGATGGAATCTGGTGGTCTTCGTTGAGTCGTAAAGATAGAGGGAATATCTTTCCGCGGTTGTAAAGTCGCGTAGCAAAAATAGGAAGCGAATTTTCGATCGTTGAGAATTTCTCGTGGTGTAAGTTTTATAAAATTCATGGAGAAACGGGATGGAACGTGGAAGAAGATCGAATGGAATGGTCATGGTGGTACGTAAACGAGCATGGATATTCGTTGAGCTAAGTGCGAGTGTGTTGCATTTTATGCAACGATGTCCTTTTCCAAACGATTATTCTTTGTCACATCTTAACCCTTCGCACTCGATTGTCTCTTCTCGGTAGTACAGTAAATCTAGGGAATAATAAGAATATTTATTTTCAGAGGACACGACGAGATTATCGGTAATCACACGAGAAGAAAAGAGAATCGAAATTTTTGGAAAATGTATCGCGATAAAGTAATTTGTGTCAGCGCTGGGCTTTCGTGATTTTATTTTAAACAACTTGGTTTGCGAGGGCAAAGGGTTAATATTGTGCCATAGTGTTCGTAAAGGTGGGATAAAGGAACATCAGATTTGATACTCTATACCTTCGTAGAGTTAATCGTATGACGATGAAAATGAAGCTTGAAAGCGATAGCTTAAGCACGTTAGCTGCGTGTTATTATAGGCTGTCAGAAAATTAAAATGGCGTCACGTCGCAAAATCATTTTGCAGATAGTGCATCACGCCTTTGCGACTAACGTCAATAACGTTTAACAGCGATTTTTGTTACAATGAAGTTCATACTTGAGTCGATATGATGGAGAGTATGTGCTTTAGCACGTGTAACTAAAAGACAAACGAAATTACCTACTCTTGTAATAAAAAGCAATATGTCTGTTACATTTTTGGTCCTTTTTCTTTATCTTTATCATGCATTCACAGGAAAAAATTACTACATCTTCTTGAAATAGAATTCTAAATATTCCTCTCATCAAAATTCAATTCATTTAAGAATCAGTTATATGGATATTTAATAAGGTAAGATTAAAAATAAGTGAAATATATGGTACGTATTTTCTCAGAGCTACAAATAGTAATATACTCGCAATAAATAGACTCTCTAAACAGACTATTCAATCTACCAACTGGGATAGTAGGAACAATTCATCATAGAAACGCAATAAAGGACTGAAACAAAGCCTCGTTTCTCAAGGAACAGGTGCAGAGGAACATTCATGGATACACTACGTTATCAATCCTCGACAGAGACGCACTCGAAGGCATGTTAATTACAAACTGAGTAGTTACTATACGCGTATAACCTACTTGGAATAGCATCGCTTCGCGAGTATAATTCTGACAAGCGTTTACTTAACAACGAAAATATCGTGTTATTACACTGCTAACAAGTTGTTCGTTTTACCTATTACTCATTAGGCCTTAACAAACGTACCCTCCCCTTATGGTCACGTTGATCTGTGCAATTCACGATCAACGACTGCCTAAATTCACTCTAGATCGAGAAGCCTCGATGAAATGATTTCTTTTTAATCAAAAGACAGAGTACCTTTCGTGGTTGAACCTCCCTCTGTCTCCTAGACGAGATATGAACGCTTAGAAAATGGTAAACGACATCCATGATATGAGAAAATGTGCGATAAAACGATGTGGACGCCTGACAGGACACTGCGACGATTTTTCGTTTAATGACGCGTGAGGAACATCGATATTGACTAATTATTAATATCATTCTTCGGCGATACTTTGCTGGCCAAGATGTATACACTATCAACCGGAAGTTTCATTTTATTTCATTATTTTTCTAGTTATTTCCTTTCGTTTGTATTTGACATTTCAATTGTTAATAATAATTCGTTTCGTTCTGAACAATTTTCAAGTTAAAAATTTTAACCTAAAACATTTTGCTACTCTGATTCCACTGCTCCACATTCGAGTACCTCTTGTACAAATTTCACTCACAATCCTATCATTTTCAAGTAACAAAAAATAAGTATTACTGATTCATAAGATAAAGTGAAATAAAAGCAAAGTAGAATATTTCAATTACAATGTTTCAATTTTCATTGAAATACGTTATAGTCCTAAACTTCCAGTAGACAGTGCAAGTAGCTAATTTCTGAACTCTAATAGCGTTCAAGGGATGGCCAGGAAAAATTGTAAATTACGAATTTACAAAGACTTCTAGCTTTATAAAAGGCGCAGAATTTTTCCGTTTATCTCGCTATAATAACTATTAGGGAATTTAAAGTGAAATTTTGTCGTCGCGGTGCCTCGACGAGGTGACGTTTGTGATACAGCTTTGGAGATGCTATTGCTTATCCATGCCCCAGGAATCTCGTGTTCGAAGAATGGGATTTTCGAGCCGGTGATTGATTGGTTTGCAATCGATGAACGACGAGGAAGAGGCTGCTGCGTGGATTTGCAGTGTGAATGGTTCTTGCAAACCTGCGACACGATGATATGTGAGAAGAGATTGATACGTGAGATTGATACGTCCAGGATGATAGGTGACTACCTAACAAAGCTGTCGCGTATGTTCGCTCTTTTCGCAGTTGCTCACTTAAAATTTGGATTTTATAAGTATATATTACCTGCTTTCTCTCCTTTATAGTTATACTTTTAATTTATCATAGACTTTACCTGAATCGTTTATGGTCAATTTATCATAGCGATATAAATATCTCTTTCTTTAATATATGATATATGATGACTTAACCTCTTATCCTTTCTTATCCTTCCTATCTCTACCATTTGTTTCCGTCTTATACAAGAAAGGCTAACATGAGTTATGTTAGGTAACACAATGTATCCTAAGCAGAAAAGATACAAGTATTATTATACAATATTATTTTTCCATATTTATATTAATACGTATTAAAGGTACTAAACGTATACAGGTTTGGTAGTCTTCTCTAAAATAGAATTAAAAAGGAGACTACAGTAGAAACACTTCTATTCATCGCGATAAGCGTGTCTGCAAAATTATCATAGACTTTGCGACCATACTTCGCGTAGAATTCAAGATTAGAAAAAGAAATTATTATCCTCAATGAGCGATAACTTCCCTTTTAATTCGAGCAGGCATCATGGTCTAAAAACGTTCATAAATCGTAGCTGGCAGAATTAGTTATCGTATCATCTCAACGGT